CCTTCTTCTCATCCTTCTCCTTCTTCTCATCCTTCTTCTCATCCTTCTCCTTCTTCTCATCCTTCTCCTTCTTCTCATCCTTCTCCTTCTTCTCATCCTTCTTCTCATCCTTCTCCTTCTTCTCATCCTTCTTCTCATCCTTCTCCTTCTTCTCATCCTTCTTCTCATCCTTCTTCTCATCCTTCTCCTTCTTCTCATCCTTCTCCTTCTTCTCATCCTTCTCCTTCTCCTTCTTCTCTCATCCTTCTCCTTCTTCTCATCCTTCTCCTTCTCCTTCTTCTCATCCTTCTCCTTCTCCTTCTTCTCATCCTTCTCCTTCTCCATCTTCTCATCCTTCTCCTTCTCCTTCTTCTCATCCTTCTCCTTCTTCTTCTCATCCTTCTCCTTCTTCTCATCCTTCTCCTTATCTCCTACTTCTCATCCTTTTCCTTCTCCTTCTTCTCATCCTTCTCCTTCTCCTTCTTCTCATCCTTCTCCTTCTTCTCATCCTTCTCCTTCTCCTTCTCCATCTTCTCATCCTTATCCTTCTCCTTCTTCTCATCCTTCTCCTTCTCCTTCTCCTTCTTCTCATCCTTCTCCTTCTTCTCATCCCTTCTCCTTCTCCTTCTTCTCATCCTTCTCCTTCTCCTTCTTCTCATCCTTCTCCTTCTCCTTCTTCTCATCCTTCTCCTTCTCCTTCCTCATCTCCAAGGGCATTTAAATTAAAGGTACAGTGTTCTGCACTAATTTAAAGGCTCTCTGAAGCTAGAAACCCTTTTTATAAGTTAACTTCGTAGCGAATAAATTTCGCATCAAATCGAATTTCTTCCTGAAATTCGCGCCGAATCAGCCGAATCGAATTTTTGAATAATTCGCTCATCTCTAGTTATCATGTATAGCGAGGAAAAGGTTCATTGCCTACCTCCCCCAGCAACTGGGAGACTGGACCTACGTGATGGAGACCCGGGGACATAGCCGTATAGTGGGGGAGAAGTAATTATACGCATGCATGTTGTCCGCACAAATTCCAATGGGACCAGCTTTGTCCGTGGGAGAATGACTGGCAGAGTCTAGCTGGACTGGTGGAATGGAACACAAACCCTTCAAAATGTTGCATCCTGAGCAGGTGTACTGTTTGTATCCGGGACCAGGAGGCACCTGAACACAGCAAAGAGAGCTAAAGGCTCCATGTGCACCAGGCCAGTCAGCCCTGCCCACACCTAGTCTTGGCTTTACTGTATAGGGACTGCAAGAAGCTGATTCTAAGTCCAATTAAGGTACTTACATCAATTGCATTTAACAAAGTACAATAAAGATGTAGTAAGGAATACAGAGCTGCATTCATTTATTATTTTTTTTATCTAGAGTACATCTTTAATTGTAGCTTCAGAACTAAAAATTGTAAAAGAAAGAATATACAGTTTTACTAGAGATATTGATGCTAATTTACTTTTAAATTCCCATGTAAAGTACAATTTTCTTTGCAAAGTGAACAGTGAACCTTTCTTTTATCTCACAAGTGTCACCGCAATGGTAGAAGTGAATAGGAATAAACCATCGGTCTTTGTGGAATACTGATTTAAAGAATCATTCAGCAATGATAAAGAGTTTGTAACGTAAGACCAAAGCACAGTATTTCTCCTCTCACAATATTGGCTAGTCTATCAGTACATGATTTATGGGATCCCTAAATTCATAACTATTCATTATAATTATCTATTATCCTTTGCCTTGCCTTGATTTAGCGCCTCATAATGCTGTAAAGAATCCTGTGATTTAGAATAATACCTTTTATTAGCGTGCAGAATATTTCCTGAAGAACCCCTTGAGGTACTTCTGAGCCTTCGCTCTTTGGGGCTGCATATACAAAATACCCTTTAGGCACATTCAGTCAAATAATTGCAACCAAAAAATTAAAGTGATCTAATTTTGTGTGAATTTTGAGCCCATTTAAAAAAATTAATGATATATTAATAAAAAAGGGTATCATTTGAAATGTATATAATATTTTTGGAGCAATCACCATTTTTATCAAATTTATATGACCTATCCATGACGGGGTTCCCCCTCCTAATTTCCTTAGTTCATCCCTGATCTCATTTAGCAATGGGATATAATTCAATTTATACAAGTTCTTTTAGGATACAGTTAATTTTATTCCTGGATATTTCAATTCTTTTCCTCTCCAAACAAAGGGAAATTCCTCCTGTAACCTATTTTTCTCTGTATTTGGAAGATTTATGTTTAAAATTTCTTTTTTTGTTGGGTTAGTTTTTAGGGCATCCCTGTCTAGTTCCGTTCTACATCCCAAATACTTGGACAATTCCCCATTAACCATGATTGCTGCAGAGGGTTGACTATATAATTTCCTTATCCACTCTCTCATTCTAGGTCCATCCCCAATACTGCTAATGTATCCAACATACTGTATATCCCCAATCTACTCTATCAAATGCCTTTTCAGCATCGATAGAGAGTACCACCGCAGAAATTTTCTCTTTCCTACTTTTTTGTATGAGAAACTGAGATCTCAGTCCGTTATCTCTACCCTCTCTCCCACTGGGACAAAAGCCTCCTTGGTCTATGTGTATCCATTTCGACATTAGGCCTTTCAACCTGTTTGCCAGAACTTTTGCATATAGTTTGGTATCTGTGTTTAATAAGGAAATCGGTCTGTAACTTGAACAGTGACTTTCATCTTTACCTTCCTTTTGTACGAGAACTACATGGACTTGTAGGGATTCCCTCCTCATTTCCATCTCTCCTCCCAATACATTCACTTATATATCCTCAGTTTAGGTACTAATAATTCTTTATATTTTTTATAATATCTCAATGTGTATCCACCAGGTCCTGGACTTTTCCCAGCTATAGTGCTCTTTAATGTTAAGTGTATTTCCTCCTGCGTTAGTGCTGATTCTAGGGATTTTAATTGCTCCTCACTTAATTTTGGTTAATCCTGCCTTTTTTAAGTATGTCTGTCTTTTTTCTATTTTTTCCTACTTCATCTTTACTTATGGAGCTGTGTGGGATAAATTATTTATAACTTATTATAATATTCTTTAAAACACTTTAGTTATATCTTTAGGTGGATACATTAATTCTCCTTTTGTGGTCTCTTATTTTCTCTATATAGTTCCTAGATTTTTTTTTTTAGCTCTACAAAGCTATCCTTGATTTGTGAAACTACTGGTTGGGTAACCTTTTCATCTTGTAATTATTGCCTGCCACCAGATTGTTCACTGTACCAAAAAAAGTACCATAAGTGTACTTAACAAGTTTTAGGCATGTTATTAACTGTAAAAACCCCACCCTTGTGTAAACAACCAAAAGCTCGAAAACAACTGCTGGTTGCTGCCATCTTGTATGTGATGTCAGCAGTCCCAGCAGACCCAGAGCTGTTGCTCAAGTGACACTCTATAGCACGAGTGTCATACTGGCAGCCCTCCAGCTGTTGCCAAGCTACAAGTCCATGAGGCATTGCAAGATTGACAGTTACAAGCATGACTCTCAAAGGCAGAGGCATGATGGGACTTATAGTTTGGCAACACCTGGAGGGCCACCAGTTTGACACCCCTCCTCTATAGTATTCTTCTTCACTCATCCCAAGGCATCTATATAAAGGGTAACGTGGGGAGGTGAGGGAGAGACAAAGATGCTGGGCCAGCACTGAGAGTAATTGGACATTCCCAGAGGAAGAAAAGGCTAAGACAAACAAGAAGGGAGGGGACTATGCTAGAGAAGTGATTCTCAGAGTAGTCAAATTTTTTTTTTACAAGTTCAAAGCCGCTATTATTATTTATTTTAATAAATAATTTATGAAAAGGAAAGACACTGGCAAGCAAACATTTCAAATACATTTTCTATGCATTTACCTGCAATTGGTTAAAGGTTAAGGTGAGGGTTCTTCAGTATAGGGGTTATGAAAATGTGTGGTAAACTCCCTCGGGGGCTGGTTCACGATGAATAGATGAAGTTCTTGTTTACAATGTTAATCAGGTATGTATTTTTTGCCTTTTGCAATCAGTAATGATTTTTTGCTTTGTAGAGTTTATTTAGCCTTTATAAGGCTCTATGCACACTGGCCTAACATCGCTGCTCCTATCCAGGGGTTTTGTGTTTTTTCTGTGGAAGCAGCTCAGTGTTATCCTATGTGTCAATGCACATGAGGACGATTAAAGGCATGTTTTAAGCTCAACATTTAAAGACAGCAAAAAAAAAACATTTGCATCTTTGATTGTAGCAGTCTGGCAGAAAAAAAACGCTAAACTCTCCTAAACTCGCCTAAAACCGTGTGCAAAAACACTCTATGTGTTTTTTTTTTCTGCCAAGGGAACTAAATCTAAATTTTTAATTCTGTCTCTAGTAAGTTCTGATATATGCCTGGCAGGATATATTCAACCATACCCTCTTAATTGGATATGAATGCGAGGTTTTGAAATTGAGTAGTAACAGATGTGAATTTTTTGTGTCTGGGTTGGATAATTATTAGAGATGAGCGAATCGAACATGACGAAGGTAGTGAATTCGTTCTGAAGATTTGGAAAAATTCTAATTCGCGACAAATCCAAAGATTAGCAAAATTCGGATGCACGAATCGAATTTTCCCAAAAATGTGTGGCGACGGAGAAAATGGACAGAGAAGATGGGGTGGGGATCTCTGGGAAGGCGCGCAGACAAGGCGCGCTGACCCTAATGCATTCATGACATGTGATCGCATTAGCCAATCAGCAGCCAGCCAGCACTGTGTAATGGTGGAGCTATAAATCGCGGCCATCAGCGCGTAGAATTCTCCATTAGCCTCGGTCATTCAAGAGAGACAGACCTGTGTGTATTAAGGGACAGAGTTAGGGCCACAGAGACTTTAGGGCCCCTGTACCGCCTTCTCTCATACTGCTGCCAGATCCATCCTCTGCCATGTGCGTCTTTGTCGTCTGCTCACGCTGCTGGGTTCCAGTTTTAAACCTAGGCCTGTGTATGGCTTCCGAATACTGCTGCCTCCACCGCCACCAAGCTGCGCCATGTGCCTCTGTCGTCTGCTCACGCTGCTGACGGCTTCCGCTTTTTAACCTAGGCCTGTGTATGGCTTCCGAATACTGCTGCCTCCACCGCCACCCTGCGCCATGTGCCTCTGTCGTCTGCTCACGCTGCAGACGGCTTCCGCTTTTTTTAAACTAGTCCTGTGTATGTCTTCTGAATACTGCTGCCTCCACCGCCACCCTGCGCCATGTGCCACTTTCGGGTCTCCTCACACTGCTGCCAGGTCCATACTGATTCATGGCCCCCTGTACCGGCTCCTCATGAACGTGGTTCAGCGGGTTTGCAACAAAACCAGTCTCTACCACAAATTGGACCCAGACCTGCCCAGGGTTTCTCGTAACTAGATTGCACGGAGGAGTAGAGTCCGTTATCGGAATTAAATAGACAAAACGCCACACCAAAAAGAGTGGCCATTTCCAACACTTATTCCAGAAAGAGGAACAACCCGTTTCATATACGGCCCGTAGACGTTTCACGTCTGCCACATTCAGTCGATTTAAGACGCAAGCTCCACTTCCTGTGGTCTCTGACCGTCGATATACCTTTAAGTGTCAGCTCTGAAGCTATATTTCCTCCGGAGCACTGACACTGGTGCCCTTCCGTCAACATGCCTTTAAGTTTCAGTTTTCAACCATATTCCCCACAGAAGCCAAACTCTTGGGTATCCCAGAAGCTGCTCAGCGGGTCAGGGCAATAAAGCTCCCGGTTCGCAGGTTGTTCCGTCTTATGGATGGAAGTACGACGGTATATGATCTTCTTCGCACCCACGGCATCACCTCATAGAATCTCTGCATTGCATCTGCAATCACAACGCTGACTTCCCGATCGCCACTCAGGCCATTGGACTCTTGATAGTCGTCTCCCCACACTGCTGCTGGGGGGACTTTTTAACCTAGGCCTGTGTATGGCCTTCAATTGAAGCTGCTTCCGCTCCGCCACTCTGCCATTGGACTCTTGATAGTCGTCTCCCCACGCTGCTGCTGGGGGGACTTTTTAACATAGGCCTCTGTATGGCCTTTAATTGAAGCTGCTTACGCTCCGCCACTCTGCCATGGCCTCTTGGGTATCCCAGAAGCTGCTCAGCGGGTCAGGGCAATAAAGCTCCCGGTTCGCAGGTTGTTCCGTCTTATGGATGGAAGTACGACGGTATATGATCTTCTTCGCACCCACGGCATCACCTCATAGAATCTCTGCATTGCATCTGCAATCACAACGCTGACTTCCCGGATCGCCACTCAGCCATTGGACTCTTGATAGTCGTCTCCCCACACTGCTGCTGGGGGGACTTTTTAACCTAGGCCTGTGTATGGCCTTCAATTGAAGCTGCTTCCGCTCCGCCACTCTGCCATTGGACTCTTGATAGTCGTCTCCCCACACTGCTGCTGGGGGGGACTTTTTAACATAGGCCTCTGTAATGGCCTTCAATTTAAGCTGCTTACGCTTCGCCACTCTGCCATGGGCCCCTGTACCGCCTCCTCTTGCTGCTGCCAGGTCCAGAGTGTGTCATGGGTCCCTGTACGGCCTCCCATTGCTGCTGACTTCATCGCCAGACTCTGCCATGTGCCACTTTCAGGTCTCCTTACACTGTTGGTGGGTTCCATTTTGTCATAGGGTGCTGTATGGCCTTCCATTGCTGCTGCCTCCACCGCCACCCTGCGCCATGTGCCTCTGTCGTCTGCTCACGCTGCTGACGGCTTCCGCTTTTTAACCTAGGCCTGTGTTTGGCTTCCGAATACTGCTGCATCCACCGCCACCCTGCGCCATGTGTCTCTGTCGTCTGTTCACGCTGCTGACGGCTTCCGCTTTTTAACCTAGGCCTGTGTATGGCTTCAGAATAATGCTGCCTACACCGCCACCCTGCGCCATGTGCCTCTGTCATCTGCTCACGCTGCTGCCAGGTCCATACTGATTCATGGCCCCCTGTACCGGCTCCTCATGAACGTGGTTCAGCGGGTTTGCATCACTTAACGGCAAATCGTTGACAAACGCTGGGACGTTCAGTGTTGTGCGCATTAAGCCAGACACCAAAGGGCAGCACAGACCTGTTATTACTCGCTCAAGCATGGCTGAACAAAACCAGTCTCTACCACAAATTGGACCCAGACCTGCCCAGGGTCTCGTAAGTAGATTGCACGGAGGAGTAGAGTTCGTTATTGGAATTAACTGTGAGGGACTTTTAAACCTAGGCCTGTGTATGGCCTTCAATTGAAGCTGCTTCTGCTCCGCCACTCTGCCATTGGACTCTTGATAGTCGTCTCCCCACGCTGCTGCTGGGGGGACTTTTTAACATAGGCCTCTGTATGACCTTCAATTTTAGCTGCTTACGCTCCGCCACTCTGCCATGGGCCCCTGTACCGCCTCCTCATGCTGCTGCCAGGCCCGTAATCTGCCATGGGCCCCTGTACCGCCTCCTCATGCTGCTGCCAGGGTCCAGAGTGTGTCATGGGTCCCTGTACGGCCTCCCATTGCTGCTGTCTCCATCGCCACACTCTGCCATGTGCCACTTTCAGGTCTCCTCACACTGCTGGTGGGTTCCATTTTTGTCATAGGGTGCTGTATGGCCTCCCATTGCTGCTGCCTCCACCGCCACACTGTGGCTCCACACTCTGGTTTTGGCCCCCGTGACTGCCCAAATGAGTGAAGTGTGCGGTGATTCTAAGATCGACGGCACTCATCTGCATGTCATACTGACTGACAGTATTATTTCTCTTCCCCAGCAGACTCCAAGGGCATTTAAATTAAAGGTACAGTGTTCTGCACTAATATAAAGGCTCTCTGAAGCCTAGAAACACCCTTTTTATAAGTTAAATTCGCAGCGAATATATTCGGCTCGAAGCGAATTTATTCGGCGAATTCGGCGAATCAGCCGAACCAAATTTTTGAATAATTCGCTCATCTCTAATAATTATGAAAGGCCGAGTCTAGATTTATGTTTTCTTTAGAATTGCCTATGTAAAGTATATCTTGTTTTGATTTCATATAATGATTCTCAGAGAGTATATGTAACACGAGACTCAAGTTGGTAACCCCCTCCCTCCTGAGTTTCTTGTCAATCATGTTAATTAGCCTAGCTGTGACTGAACAAGAAACACATGTGTTGCTACACTGGGAGGAGACAAGGGGAGTGGTTAAGGAGCCTGCAAATTTGAAACAAAGGATAGTGGGAGGACTTAATTCCTTGTGCATTTTAAGTATGATAGCCCATTCAAGGAACAGGCTCACTTCTTCTCGTCACTTCTTCTCTTCACTTCACTTCATTCAGACATTCATACACTTCAGACACTTACACAAAAGAAGCACATGGTAAGCTTGTACAAAGGAAAGCACATGGTCACGCCTTAGAGCACATGGTTCTAGGCCAAGCTCCTTTCTAAGAGAACAAAGGAACTACATTTTTCTTCTTATATTCAAGGAACAAACAACTTATATTCTTTATTTTTATTTTATTTTAAGCTACATCTCTTTTTGTATTTGAATTTGCTACATTTATATTGACTTTGTATTTATTTTTGAGTGTGATTAAATAAAGTCACACTGCTTGCTCCTAACTGGCTTTGAAAAGGATTTCTTCCCACAACCACCTACAAATACAGGAATACTAAAAGAGTTTATTTTAAAACTCTTATTTTCCAACATTATTGGCGAGAGCCAGCCATTTTCAATTTTTTTTGCCTTTTTCCTTGCTTATTCAGTGGGGATTAAGATGAACTATATATTGATTGATTAAGCTTCGGAAAGATTGCAGAACCTAGAACGAAAATGTTGGTTGTGGAGAATTGAGGGTCCAAGTGGAAACGAAACGAGTCCCTAAGCCAGGACAAAAGAAAAAAACTTGCTAAATCGGTGAGTAGCAAAAATAGAATTTATTGATTCATTAGCTAATGAAAGTAAGTTGGAATTTCAAGGTTTAGCTAGCCATGCTTCTGATACTGGTTTGTGGAAATCTATCTATGATCAATGTATGCAGGCAAATGTTGATATTGATAGATCTAGATTTTCGTTTAATAAGATGAAAAGAAAATTGCGTAACATTATGAAGCTAGTTAGAGTTTTCAATTCTATGGTGTTTGAATTGCCTGAAAAAAATGTGGTTTGTGTTGTAAATAAGGCAGAGAGCGTGCCTGTCTTACAGACTACAAAAATGCATAATACTATTGAATCCAATTGTACAAACTGTGAAACCTTTTGTAGCTATATTGAACATCTTGAGCAAGAAATTGAATCTCAAAATGTTGCAATATCAAGAAACACACAAATAGCTGTGGTGTCTAAAATAAAAGCAATCAGATAATGCACAAGCCTCATATATTCCAGATTCACCCAGTGGGACACATGAGGAGCGCAGTGAGGTTAATGTACAAAGACAGAAGTTACCAGCAAATGATATGAAAAAAATTCTTTCCATAATTCAGATGTTTTTGAGAATTTTTGTGATAGGTTCCAATTAGATAATGAACAAAGAAAATCGTATTTTTGGATTATGGATCCCAAGTTTTATGGCTCGTAGATTAATCAAGACTCCATATAACGATGAAGATGATATTGAAATTCATATCAATGCAACTGACCGATTACATCAGTTACTGCTATTCACTACTGGAGAGGAAACACCTAGTTTGGAAATTTTAGACTCCTTAAGAGCTACTATTAATGATGATCCTTTTGATTTTAGAATTCGATTTTCTAAAGCATACAGGATGATATTTACTTTACAGAAAGAGACCCCTGCTATGGTCGAAGATTTTGTAAAAAAAATTTAAGTATCTTGATCCAGCATCATTGTTGATTGCTAATGGAAAGGATCATTTGGATGATGCAGCTTATGTTATAGACAAAGTAAGAAGGCAATTAAAGCAAAGTAATGTGAGACCAAAAATTGCCACAATTCAGAATATTTATCCTAGAAATGAAAATCAGGATACATTCAAGACAGGAAACACTGCCCCCACAGGAATGACAGAGTAAGACAAGGGACTCAAAGACCACTCAATTGCTACTATTGTTCAAAGCAAGGTCATTTTAAGTGGCAGTGCAGGAAATTTTTGAAAGACATTCAGATAAGAAATTTGGGAAAAGAAAATGGACTTATTTCTCTTGGACCGTCTGCTCCACCTCGTTCACAGGAAGTTTAGTCATCTTCACCCTATGCTCCTCTGATAAAGAGCTCAGTGAAATGTCAATTGGTAATGGAGGAAATGTGAACAACTCACATTCATCCAATACTTTAGGACAGCCACTTATTACCTTCACCATGACTGGTGAAAGAAAGGGAGTTTGAGCCTCACTGTCTGGATTATGTAGCTCCAATTTTCTTAGACAAGTGTGGGCGTCCCTATGTAAAAAAGCCAAAATTGACGCTAAAAATTTAAATGTCCTTTTTTTTTTTAGACACAGGAGCTCAATGAGTGTCACAGGTTTGAAATGACCTATTCCATCAAATGCAGCAGTTTGTACAGTTGTAGGGTTCAATGGGAAAGGTGATGTTCAAAGCTAAAAATTAAAAATGTGTCTTTTGAAATTCCAGGATGTTTGCAAACAGAAATAGACTTTTGGATTTGTCAAGGAGCAGAGAACATTATGGTACTGATTAGAGATGAGAG